AAAAACCAGGGGTATGGCTCAGTGGGCCTTGTTTAGTATCTGACAACCCCCCAGTTGAGGCCCAGCACATGAGATATCACACACACACACACACACACACACAATGAGTCCCAGGAGGCAGAAATGAGTCATGGTGGGAAATGGGATAAGCTAAGATAAAGAATAACTGAGAAAATAATTTTAAAATAGCAAGTGATTGGGGCTGGGGAGATGGCTCAGTAGAATAAGCACTTGCCTGGGAAGCACAAGGGCCTGAGTTCAATCCCAGGTTCTGGAAAAAAGAAAAAATAAAATAAAATAGCAAGTGATTTTATTCAGGGTAGTCATTTCATTTTGCACCAGTAATAATCCTAATCACAGGTTATATATATATAGTTGGTGTTTTTGTCTTTGTTTTTTTAATCTTTTCCAGAGACCCTCAAGCATTGAATTATTTTCTACATGGACCTAGTAATAAATCTGTAAGTAACACTCAGCACATCAGAGACATGCTGGGTTTCTCCTTCTGGTCTTGGTAACCACTGTGCTGACTTTGTCCCCTTGCAGAGCAGCGATGACCTGACAAGCACAGGGTACCCTGCAGCCAACTCCAACTCAATTTTCGCCAACTCCACTGTGAGTATTGGAAACTGAACTAAACACTCAAGTGTTTCAGTGTCAGGGACACCTGTTGAATAGGGACTTTAGGGGCTGGGGAGATAGCTCAGTTGAATAAGCGCTTGTCTAGCAAGCTGAGTTCAATCTCTGGCTCTGGGAAAAAAAAAAAAAAAAAAAAAAAAGGACTTTAATTGCCTTTGTATTACAAAGAACCCTAACTTTGTCCTTTGTAATTTACACAATAGGAAAAGCTATTGAATTAGGGTTACATTTCTCTTTTAACTTGGTCACAAATTAGGAAAGCTGATATTACTGTGCCAATTTCTTAAGCTTTCAACTTCCTGAAACAATTCAGAAATATACCCAAGAAAGTCTTTTGAACCTTGTTGCATATACTAGCTGGGTATGGTGGTGCACACCTGTAACCCCAGTGTTGAAGGCAGCTGAGGCGGAAGGACTGCAAATTCAAGTCTCACTTAGGCAGGGAAAAAAAAAAAAGAATTTACTTGCTTGCTTGCTTATTGGCAGTACTGGAAATTCAACACTGAGCTACATCCCGTCCCTTTGTATTTTATTTTATTTATTTATTTTTTCTTCCATAATTTTATTGAGAAACAAATAGCAATGAGACAGTTTCAAATCAAATTGGTAGGAGAGTTTCAATAATACATTGCATACTCTCTTCCTAGTGGTTATTTGCTGTACAAGATGCAGACATGATATCCTATTTACAAACACTATTACAACAAATCCCTCTATTCATTAAGAGAATGTAACTATCCTAACCACTTTGAATACATAGATACAAAATGGACATTCATCTGTATCCCCTTTTTCGTTTAGTTCCGTCATTTGAATATCATAGGTATGGTAACTCAGCAAAATATTCAAAAAGAGTCCAGTAATCTGTAATAGTATTGGATCTTCTGCTTGACTGGCAATGGCAAAAATTGTTGTGTATTTTATTTTGGTCTTACTGAGTTGCCTCACCTGGCTTTGAACTTGAGCGCCTCATACCGCAGTTTCCCAAGTATCTAGGAATAGCAGGTGTATGCCACAATTCCTGGCAAGAAAACATATTTTGAGGGCTGGGGAGATAGCCCAGTAGAAGAAGTACTTGCCTGGCAAGCGCAAGGTCCTGAGTTCAATCCCCAGTACCACAAAAAAAGAAAAATCATATTTTGTTTTGTTTTGAATTTTGTTATTAGTACTAGGGATTGAATCCAGGGCCTTCCCATTGAGCAACATGGCCTACCTTTTTTTTTTTTTTTTTTTTTTTGAGACCGGGTCTTCCTAAGTCACTAAATTAGCTGAACGGGTCTCAGATTTGCAGCCCTTCTACCTGGCCTCCCAGTGCAGAGATTATAGGCCTGTGCCGCCAATGCCTGGCTAAGAGATCATTTCAGGGGCCGGGGATAGAACTTAGTGGCGCAGTGCTTGCCTGGCAAGCTCAAAGTTCTGAGTTCAGTTCTCAGTACTCCCACCCCTGCAAAAAAAATCTTTTTTCTTTTTTAATCACAGTTATAGATTATTTTCATCTTAAGGAAAAAACCCAGGCCAAGGATATAACTCAGCAGCACAGGCACCCGCCTGGCAAGCACAGGGTGCTGAGTTCGATTCCCAGTGTCAAAAACCCCACAAAAAACAAACCAAAACAAAAAGCCCTGACACTTTTTGACCATGTAGTATGTGGTATATTTTGATTCCCAGTATCAAAAACCTTAACATATCATTTAATCTCTAGGGTAATGCTATAAAGCAGTTCTATTAGTATTCATATTCTGTAGATGAGGGTACTACAGCACAGAGGTCAGGTGGCCCAAGATCACTTGGCCATGAGCCACGGAGCTAGGATTCTGACCCAAACCACCTGTGTTTATTCATTTCTTTCCTGTCTTACTCTCTCCCTCCCCCCTCCCTCTCCCTCTCCCCTTCTCTCCCTCTCCCCCTCCCTCTCTCTC